CGTCAGGTGGCGCCGCGTACGAGGGCCTGGTTACGTGCCCCGGGGCACGATCGCGAGAAAATCGTGTAATGTACAGGCGACAATACGGGCCCCGGTTTCAGCTCATTGAAGCACGAGCGACCGAACCTTTAATCGGTGCTTTATCGATCTCACAACTAGCCTAGTCGTCGTTTCATCCAGCCGTGCGATCTCGCGACTTCGCGAAGCCCTCAATTAACGCCAGGCTACGTGTTGAAAGATGATCTCAGATCAACGATCGCGCAACGCTTTTTAATTTTCTCGCGATTCGTGATTTTTAATCTCGCTAATTCGAGGATTACCTTTATAAATATTCGAAGGAAATAAAAATCGCCGGCGTCGTTGCCAGGATGGCGTTTTAACGAGCTCGAACGAATTCCACCCGCGACGACGAGTCGATCGATCGGACCGGAGCTGCCACGCTACCCAGAGGCGCCAGACCCTTTTTTCAACGTTCGATCGCCGGCGCGACCGATCAATTAGCGGGCTATTGATCTGTGAACGGTGCGGCACGATGACGATGCCTTGGAAAAGTTCCTGCCACCTGGCCAGACCCCCGCGGCACGGGCAGATGCGGCTCGAGATTCTTCGATCGATCGATCGCGCGCTTGCCCCCGTGATTTTTCATGCCCTGCCTGGAATCATGCTTCTTGCGCTATAGAAATATATATCACTATTCTGTCCATGCACGGACTTGCTGTCTACGGTGCTTTTTGAATTTTTTTAGAGTTACACGAGACGAAACGTTGTTAGGAATTAGTCAGGCATGAGTCGTCCCAAGGTTCGTGACCAGGAATCAAAGTAACACCAACAGGATAGGATATACAAGCACAGTAATAGAAAGAGCCCACAGACAAGAATAGTTTTAACATTGCAGCAAGCGTAAGCTGGTATTATGACATTTTTATATGTAGTATAATTCTTAATTATACCCTTACAACGTAACAACGTACGAAGACTGGGAGCCTGTCTACCTGTTTCGCCTACTTTTACCAGCGAGTAAAAGTCTCGCCTCCTCGTTGCCCCCGTTGCGGAAAAGAGCCGATCGCAGCCCGAAACGCGGAGCAGAGCGAAGCGTTTTCTGCGACAGACTGTCGTCGGTTTTTCACACGTCCAACGGTCGTGTGCTGTACGAGACCGGCCTCAACCTGTCCGGCTCTCAACGGTCATTCCCACAGTCACCTGTGCCCTCGTCGAAGACACTCGCTGGCCCATTGTAACGATCCCTAATACGCGTTATCCCTCGACTCTACCGGTTCGCCTATCCTCTCTATCTTGCTCTCCTCTCCTCTCTTCTGGTCCTCGTCTGTCGCTGATTTCTTCTCGCGGCGACACCTTGCCCGGCTCGGAGACAAAGGGATCGCGGTCGCGACCAAGCTTGAAATGCTAATCCGCTTCGGCAGGGGCACGCCGTGATGAGAGAAGAAGAGGCGCAGAGAAGGGCGAACGAACGTACGAACGAACGAACGAACGAACGAACGAACGGGGTGAGAGAGGTGTTACCCAGAGTCCAATGTGAGTTACGGGACAGTCTTAATTTCGTCATTCATCTCGGCTGGAGAGAAGAAGACCAGAGAGAGAGAGAGAGAGAGAGAGAGAGAGAGAGAGAGAGAGA